AGCCCAGACGACCAAGGGGGCAACTGTGACTGGACTAACAAAGTCGCCGCACCGCATGCCCCCAAAAAGCTGGTGGGATTCCACGGGTAATGCCGCGTCGAAAGCGCGCCACGCGCGGAGGTGGCGTTGCGTTGGTTTCGCGGGCAATGCTGGGGCGCGCATTTCCCGAAAGGGGGCGTTCGCAGGAGCGTGTATGCACGGCGCAACCGGCCAGCTGTCTCAGGATCCAGTTCATGGACTTTCACTTGGTTCGCGTCTCCAATGGCTCGCGTTCGTTTGGGGTTTTCTGGCGCGTGGGGTTCGCCGTGGTGTTTCTCGTGATCTACATCGCCTAGGCAACGATTGGTGCGCGCTGCGAGTTCTTACCAACCCTCCAGCGGCTGGGCTCGCGTTTTGAAGGGATCACTGTGGTCTCCACTCCCTCTCTTTCTCCTCCTCCTCCTCCTCGTCCTCCTGTTCCTGCTCCTGCTCCTCCTCCTCCTCCTCCGCCTCCTTCCCCTCCTCCTCCTCCTCCTCCTTCTCCTCCTTCTCCTTGTTCCTCCTCCTCCTCCTCCTCCTCCTCCTCCTCCTCCTCATCTCTCCTAGCTCTTGCCCTTCTGCGGGGGCTGCGATCTGCGAACCCGTCGCCAGTTTCGTGGGCTCCTGGGAGGTCCAGCGGAGTGGAGCTGCAAGCAGCTCCCGAGACCTCGCGGTCCCTGGTGGGCAGCGAAGTGCTCAATTGTCGCGACGTTCGTGGGCTCCTTGGAGGTCCAGCGGAGTGGAGCTGCAAAGATCTCCAGCCGAGACCTCGCGGCTCCCTGGTGGGTTGGGAAGTGCTCAATTGTCGCCGCCTCTGTCGTGGGCTCCTGAGAGGTCCAGCGGAGTGAAGCTGAACAGATCCAGCCGAGACCTCGCGGCTCCCTGGTGGGTTGGGAAGTGTTTCATTGTCGACGCTTTCGTGGGCTCCTGGGAGGTCCAGCGGAGTGAAGTTGCAAACAGATCCAGCCGAGGCCTCGCGGCTTCCTGGTGAGTTGCGCAGTGCGCAATTGTCGCCATTTCCGTGGGCTCCTGGGAGGTCCAGCGGGATGGCTAGATCCAGCCGAGACCTCGCGGCTTCCTGTTGGGCTGCGAAGTGCGCAATTGTCGTCATTTTCATGGTCTCCTGGGAGGTCCAGTGGAGTAAAGTTGCAAACAGATCCAGCCTAGACCTCGCGGCTCCCTGGTGGGCTGCGAAGTGTGCAACTGTCGCCACTTTCGTGGGCACCTTGGAGGTCTGGCGGAGTGGAGCTGCAAACAGATCCAGCCTAGACCTCGGGGCTCCCTGGTGGGTTGCGAAGAGCTCAATTGTCGCCGCCTCTTTCGTGGGCTCCTGGGAGGTCCAGCGCAGCGGAGTTACAAACATATTCCGCCGAGACCTCGCGGCCCCTGGCGGGCTGCGAAGTGCGCAAGTGTCGCCTCTTTCGTGGGCTCCTGGGAGCTCCAGCAGAGTGGAGTTGCAAGCAGTTTCTGCCGAGACCTCGCGGCCCCCTGGTTGGCTGCGAATTGCGCAATTGTCGCCGCCTTCGTGGCTCCTGGGAGGCCCAGCTGAGTGGGGTTGTAACTATACAGATCCAGCCTCGGACCTCGCCATGCCGCCGCTGGAGCCAGACGTCGCGCCGCCCCGAGCCGCAGGCGTTTTGTTGCGCCCAGCGATCCTCGGCGCCGTCCGAGCGATTACGTGGCCCAGTCCGCGCAGAGATTCGAGGGCGGGCCCTTGGGCCCGGTCGCCAGGAAAAGAGCACCCCGCACTTGGAAGAGGGACCAGACCCCGCGCGCGAACGCTCGCAACCCGCGCGGGACGACGAGCAACGGGAGACCCCGAGGGATCACCGCCGGACCATCCAGATGCTGCCCATGGGCCAGGGGGGGCTCCGGCAAGACGGCGAACGCGCAGGAGGTCGTGCTACTGGCGGTGGACCTCCAGCTCGGGGTCTCCTCCACGCTGATCGCCTGTGCCAGATGGTCCCAGGCCGAGAGCATCTCCGCAGAAACCCACGCGGCGACCGCGCGCCACCAGGCGGCGCAGAGGGGCATCGGGGAGCACCAGAAGAGAGAGATGGTACCCGATGCCGATATGCGCGTTCGTCTTGAGAACATCTGGGGTGACCGGAGACTGTTCGCGATCGAGGGGGTGAGCACGGCGTCGCCGAATCTCTACGCCATGCCCCCGTACCGCGCCTCCCAGGCTAGGCGCGCCCAGCGCAATCTGAAGGAGGCCGACTACCAGAAGCAATCCTGCTCTGCGAGTTTGGCGGCGTCCCCATCGCCATCTACCTCGGGGATTTCCTGCACCTGAAACACGCGGGGTCTGGGAGGTCCCTGGTCCTTGCTGTCGGACCTGCGGCATCTGGCGGCCGCCGACAGCGCGAAGGAAAGGTCATCCGCGTCGAGCACCAGCAGGTCATGAACCCCTTGTGCAACACGCCCCGCTGCTTCGAGCTCCAGGCCGCCAACCGCTTCAAGGACCCGCGCCCCGCGCATCCCGGACATGACCGGCGGCGCGCGCGGAATGTTTCCGCTGCGTTGGGGCACGCGGGTTCGATTGTTGGAGCACCTGGGCCCCAAGCGAAAGTTGATCAAAGACGTGGATTCCGAGATCGTGCGCGCGGCCATCAGACGTCGAGACGAGAACGAAGATGATTCCGCGTGGGCCGAGATCCGCCCCGCGTGCCGGCGCCGCTTGCCCCTCGGCGCAGGGGCACGCGCGGACACGCGCAAGGCCGCGCCATTCCAAGACCGGCTGGCAGAGCGCGCAGTCGGGATCGACGCTTCGGACGCGGAGCGGCTGGTGTTCATTGAGCAGCAGACGTCGGCCCCTTTGACTTCCGCAGGCGCACGGCGACGCGCGCGGACCTGCAGATCCCCCGTGCCAGGGTGCTCGCATCGACGGCCCGCCAGGGCCGGGCCGCGCGCGAGGGCGTCATCGTCGACGTTGGTAAAAGGATGCGGACAATATGGGCGGGTTCTGGCTCCATTTGTACGCCATGCTCTCTAGTGGCGACGACGTCGGACAAACTGCTAATGATCCGCGATCCAGGCCAGGACTTTCTGTCTCGAGGGCCGCTGGCAGACCTGGCCGCACGCCTCCAGGGTCTCGGCGGCACTCGCGCGGAGCGCTGCGGGAAATAGGCCGCCAAGCTGGCGCACGAGCTCGGCCTCGCCAAGTTCCTGCACGAGCGAAAACGGCTCCTGCCAGCGCTTACAGGCGCGTTTCCGGTACACTTGCTACTGCAGTGGAGAAGTTTTGCGTCCGCGGCCGGTGCGCGGCGCCGCTGCGATCTGGCACACGCGTCGTTTTTGTTTTGTCATGTACTGCTCCGAAGCTTGAAACTGGCTGCTGGTTGTTGTTACTGGTAAATGGCGAGCGCTCGCGCAGCGCGCGGCGCTGTCCAGTCACATAGCGCACGCCGCCGTGGCGCTGGCCTGCGTCCATGTCTCATCCATTCCTCAGCAGCCCCGAGCGCGCCGCACTGCCTGTCCTTTCTTCCATGACCTCTCTGCGTGTTTTCGTGACGACGTACTTTTGTAATGGGCGATACTGGGTATCGTCGCCGAATGCGCACAAAGGGTTGGGGACGTCCCCGGGCCATTGCTTTGTTTGCCGCGGTGCTGGCGAAGAGCTTGTTGCTGACATGTACGCACCATTCGCAATCGTGCCCGTTAGTTTGTGTTCGCAAAATCAGAACGTTGCCGCGCGCATGCCTCAGATCCTTTTTCTGGCTTGCGCTAGCCGTCTTCCAACGCTTCCTTATGTGCGATGCTGGTGTCTGGTCGGGATGCTTCGCGATCAGATGAACGTTGGCGCGGTGGCACATTTGCCGACATGGCATCGTCAAACGGGCTGCGGCGTGGCGAATACCAGCCCCCACTCCAGCGCGCTCGAAATGTATTTCCTGGTGTTGGTCAGGATTGATTGCTTCGTTCGGAGGAGCAGACGGGAGCAAGGGCGGGTGGAAATAGGGCAGGGGGGGGGAGCAGGGGAAGAAATGTGGGAGCGGAGGGCGAGGAGGAAGGAGGGGAGGGGAGATCGACCACACGCGAGGACGCTCCTTGACTAGAGTGACCTGTGGTGCGCGGCTTCACTGGCGCCCGCGGGGGCCCATCGCAACCGCGCAAACCGCTGCTGTCGCGCCGCTTAAAAGATCGGCGGGACGCACTTCAAAAAATCCTTACCGCCAGCGGGCAACCGCGGAATTCCTAGAATTCGATTCGAACGTTCCAACTGCGAAAGGCAAGCGCTGTCGGGGGCCACCACGCTGAGGTCTGGCACTGCTGGGCCGCGTCGCGATGACGTCTGGCCAGGTCTGGCGTCGTGGCCCGAACTGCCCCTTCCGGGGCCCTCAATATGTTTGGTTTTCTTCGGGTACGCTTCCATACTCAAGAATCCCATCGATTCGGACAGATATTGAAAAATATCGGAAGATATCCAAACAAGTTCAAAGATACTCGAGCGGGACGATTTGACATTTTGGACTGGGATTCGGAACCCGTCTTGGGACGGACAACGCGCCGCCCGGTCGACCGGCCCGCCCTTGGGAATTCAATGCGCGCTGTAGGATGCGCCGCGCATGCGTTGCGACCGATTGCGAGAGGGGCCCAAACCCTGGCGCGTTCAGATGCGAGCGCCACCACTCTGCGGGCGCCGACGCGAGGTCGAGCTCAATCCCCAAGAATGTTACCCAACCCCTCTTGGGGCCAGCACCACAGGTCACCCCTGCGACGGTTCGAGGCAGGGGGGAGCGAGGGGCGGGGAGGAACCAGTGGGGAGGGAAGCAGTAGGCCTCCGCGGGGGCAGGCCCGAGCCCAGGTGGCTTCCAATGTAGTCTCCTGGGGGAGTCTTGGGATACACTCTGTGCGCAGCACCTGTGCGAATCATCTTCCGTGCATTTTCTGGAGCCTTTTTTGGTACAGTCCTCACGTCGGTTACCCTTCTCTTGTCCCCCTGTGAGGCTTGTCTTGACCGCCTCGCGCGATCTCGCGAGGCTCTGGCCGCCAAGGAGGAGGGCAACGCGCTCCTGAAGGCTGGCAACTTTCCGGCGGCCATCGAGCAGTACACCCTCGGACCGCCCCGCGCGATCGTGCGATTTTTTCCTTCGTTCGGAGGGCGCTTGTCGTCGTCGCTGGCACACGCGAAGACACCGTGTCGAATCGTGGGTGCCCCCTCCTGCGGTGCTATTCTTGCCACGGGGCGGACTTGACACGGCTACGAGTAAATCAATCCACAGTTTCTCAATTCATAATTCCTGATCTGGACTGAGGCCCCTACGCAAACGGAGGGCAAGCTAGAAAGCTCGATGCACGGTTCAAGCAAGCTATAGACAAGCCATATGCAAACCGAGCAGACAAGTTGGGCATGAGGGCACACGTGCCCATCTTGGTCTGGCGCTGGTGCGCTGGCGTCCCCCCGCATCGGCCCCCGCCATCAGCGCACCCGCAGGCTCAGACAGAAGCCCTCCAGGAGTCGGGGAACAAACCATGAAAACAACGGTAAACTTTCGGAGGTCCGCGCGGCTCTTTTGGATCGGCGCTGGGGCCTCCTGGCGACGCCTCCGGCGCCGCCCTTGGCGCGCTCAGCGCGCCAGGTAGGGGGTCCAGCGCCGATCCGAAAAGAATCCGCACGGATCTCCAACAGTTCATGTTTACGTCATTGCTTGCTCCTCTGAGTGCACGGAAGAGAGGTCTCGCCCTAGTGGAGGAGGGCACCTCCAGAGCGGCGGCCTTGCTTCTGGTTTGCCTCTGGGCCCGTCGTACGCCGCGCCTGGCGCTCCCGCCCGCACCTGCGCGGCTGTTCTCCGCGGCACGTCTGCGCGCAGCTGCGTTCGCTCTGCGCAGCGGCGCGCGCCTGCGCAGCTCGTGGTTCACCGCCCACCAAGCCACCCCAATCCAACCCGAAGGCCCCGATTAGCCCTCCACTTCCAGTGTGGGGTGGTCGGGGAACATTGAAAAGACATATGAAGCCCGTACCCCCCCAAGTCGAAATTCGGGTCTTCGGGTTGGGCTGGGGTGGTCTGGTAGGTAGCCAGTGGTGTCGCTCGACCACGAACAGACGACGATGTCTTCGAGTCTCGGTCCTGGAACCTCGAGACCCGAGGCTCGAGGATCCTCGCACGTCGGGCCTCGAGCCACGAACAATCCAGGGCGAGTTGAGGCAGCGGCAGCTCAAAGTCGGTCCCCGACGCACCAGTCTCCTGAGTTGCGTCCGGCCGTGGCGACGAGGGGCCCCCCCCGACGGCCAATTGCCGCTGCAGTTGCACGCGCACGCGCGGCGAGCGCCTGCTCCCCCCGCCCCCCTCCTGTGCGCTCCAGGCATCGCCCTCGCGGACGCCGAGGATCGTGCCTTGGCCGCGGACTGCTACAACAACCGGGCCGCGGCGCACATGCAGCTGCGCAACTACGAGAACGTTGTGCAGGACCCGGCGCTGGCGGAGAGGGGGCCGGCCGCGCGTTCTTCCGCGGCCCGTGGTCGCCGCTTTCCGGGGGATGGAGGAGTGAGGGATGACAGCAGGAGGAGGAGGAGGAGCAGGAGGAGGAGGAGGAGGAGGAGGAGGAGGAGGACGAGGACGAGGACGCAGGAGAGGAGGAGGCGGAGGAGGAGGAGAGGCAGGAGGGGTGGAAGGGAGGAGGAGGAGGATGAGGAGGAGGAGGAGGAGGATTAGGAGGGATGGGAAGGAGGAGGAGGAGGAGAGGAGTAGGAGGAGCAGCAGCAGCAGGAGCAGCAGGAGCAGCAGGAACAGCAGGAGCAGCAGGAGCAGCAGGAGCAGGAGCAGGAGGCGGAGGAGGAATGTAAGGGTGGTGCGGAGAAGGGGGGGAGGAGGGAGAGGAGGAGAAGCAGGGCGAGGAGGAGGGAGGATCATGAGGAGGAGGAGGAGGAGGAGGAGGAGGAGGAGGAGGAGAAGGAGGAGGAGGAGGAGGGAAGGAGGAGGACGGAGGGAGGGTCAGGAGGAGGAGGATGTGGAGGAGAGGGAAGGCTCAGAGTGAGGCAGGGTGCATGGGAGGTGGGAGCGACGTGGGGGATCAAGGATGGGGCCGGGCGGGAGCGGGGGAGGAGAGGCGGGGCGGGGCGGAGGAGAGTGAGAGGTAGTTGCGCGGCGGGTGGGCGGGGCGGGGGAGGAGGAAAAAGAGGAGGCAGATTAAGAGGAGGATAAGAGAAGGTGGAACCAGGCATGAGGAGGTGAAGAAGAGGGGGGAAAGGCGGAAGAGGAGATACGAAGGGAAGGCAGGGGGGAGGGGGGGTAGGAGGAGGGGGTGGGGGTGGGTTGTGGTGCGAGTAGTATGGGGGGGGGGGTAAGCCGGTGGGAGAATGCGAGGGGGGAAGGCAGTGAGGTGGCGGGGGGGGACGATGGAGGGGGGGGGTGGTGGGGCTCGTGTTGAGGGGCAGGGGGGGAGGGGAAGGGAGGAGGAGGCGGAGGAGGTCAGGGAGCAAGGGTGGGAGGAAGGGGGTGGAGAGGCGTGAAGAAGCGTACGGCAGTTTCGCGTCGTGTCGACCGGCGGCGACCCCAGCACGGGCGTTTAAGGCTGAACGTTGAACGCCGCCTGTAGCCCAGAATCGGCCCATGCTTGAACGATCTGGCCTTTTTGAAAGAACCGATCGTTCAAGCTTGAGCGATCCCCGCGGTGTGAGGAACCAACGCCGGGGTCGACACGACGCAAACCTGCCGTAGCGGGCGGAGAAGGCGAGAGAGGACAGGAGGAGGAGGACGGAGGACAGAGTTGAGGCAAGCGCGCGAGTCACTGTGCCAGCCTGCCAGTTCGCGATAGCCCAGGCCCATGCCCCGTCCTCCAGCCGCCGCCGCGCACGGAGCCAGTGGCGCCGTCATCGCGCGAGGGCGATGGAGACGACATCGACTGCGCCACGGCAGTCACCGCGCAGCATGGGGCCAGAGGCACTCGAGCAGAGGCCGAGCGGCAGGCGGGGAGCCAAGAGGGCCGCGGTGGAGGCGGGGGAGGAGGCGGCCAGGCGTGCTTCTCCGCGGGCGGGCGGGGTTGTCTCCGGGGCGGGGCGCCATCGGGGCTTCTTGCGCGTCGACGCGCACTGTTTTTCTGGCTTCGCCGCGAGGTGCTTCGCAAGCGGCTGCCGAGGAGGCGGCACCGAGGAGGAGGAGGAGGAGAGAGAAGAGAGGAGGGAGGAGGAGGAGGAGAATGAGAAGGAGGAGGAGGAGGAGGCGGAGGAGGAGGAGGAGGAGGAGGAGGAGGAGGACTCGAGATCCGACGGTCCGAGCAAAAATGTAGCATCGCGAAATATCACGTTCGGAGCCCTAGACCTCATATGTCTGCATCATGCTTCGAGCCGGATCGATCAGTGAGGATCCGGGGCTTTTCAATCTGGCGACAAGGCCCGCTGTGAAGCCGTGCAGCGCCTGGGTCTGAAGGGAGGCCCGCGCGGTGGACGGCCCCCTCCCCCACCACAGGCGCCAACGCCCCGACAGCCCGAGCGGCGCCCGGCGGCCGCCCGCCCGGCCCGCCTGATTCGCGCGGGCGCGCCCGCGCGGGCGCACCGCGAGCGGCGACCGCATCCACGCCGGCTGCCACCCGGCCCGACCGGGCTCGCCTCGCGCTCAGGCGATCGCAGACATGGTTCCAGGGGGCGTGGATTAGCGACGGGTCCCGTGTCCATGGGGAATCGCGGGCGTCCGCCGCCGAGCGAGGCGGCACCGGCCGCATGTTGGGGAGGGCACCTCTCCCCCGATCCATGGATTTCGCGACCGCGCGCCAAATCCATGGATCGCTAATCCATGCCTGCGCGCCCCCGACGCGCGCGCGCGCCCGCGCCGCCCGAGGACGCCACGGAGTGCCTGCAGCGGAGCCCGGGCAGCGCGAAGGCCTTGGTGCGCCGCGCGCAGGTTCGGGTCGGGCGAAACTTGGCATCCTCGCGCTGTGGCCAAAAATCACGACGGCAAGTATTCAGCAAAGGAGGAAAGGGCATGGCGGGCGAAAGCCATGTCCGTATCCGCGGCTTCGTGGGACAGGCCCCTGGGCGCCGGGCCCTTGAGCCGCGACCCTGCGGATACGGGGCGTTTTGTCGCGGTTGCCCCGCGCGAAACGTATCCGTGCGACCGCGTATCCGTGGGATGGCGCCACAGAATCCAGACCGCGAGGGCGTGGATATGGATACGTTCGCCGCTCGTGAAAACACCCTGACCCCCATAATTGGCGTTCGCTAAACGGCCCTGAGCGTTTATTGGACAGCCTGGCCCTCTTTGATTCCTTCACTGGGTGCTTTGCGAAACGGCATCGCTCGCCGGGGTGTTTATTGAATCGCTTCGCTCATTCCGCCGGCCCATTTCGCATCACTATGGCTGCGCGGTGGTATTCTCGTGCCTTTCGGGCCTCTTGGGGGCCTCAGGGCCTTGGGGCTCTTGGGAGGGCCTGAGGGCGGCGCCCAGGAGCAGAACCATCTCTGATGGGAACTTACTGGGGACCTGCCCCGGACCTGTTCGGGGCGTTTGTCGGCCACGGACCTCCAGGGGCCGCCCTGCGCGCGCGAACTAGAAATATTGTTTTCCAGTTGGCAGAGACGAGTGGCCGTGGGCCTATCCAACCACCGTGCCTGAATGATGTGCCTGAAGCCATTCGGATGGCTGATCGAGTTTCGAGGGAGGCTTCTCGAAAACGTTTTGGAAGGAGTGTTTCAGTTTCTGGGGGGCCCCCAGGGGGCTTTGTGAGAGCGTTGTGAGACACTTGTGGGCTCTCTTGGAGCCTCTTGGGGCCTCTTGTAAGCTTCTGGGAGCTTCCTCGGGGCGTCTGGGGCCCGAAGGTTCGAAAAGTCTGGTCTGGTTCCTCCTGTGGGCTCCTCTTGGCGCAGTCCGGAGGCCGTCTTGGCCAGTCTCGGGGTTCTAGAGCCATCTTGAGGCTCTCTGGGGCTGTCTTGGAGCCGTCTTGGGAGCGTCTTCGGCTATCTTGGGGCGATCTTGGGAGCCCCTGGGGTCGTCTTGGACGTTGCGAAGGCTGAGGAGGCGAATCGGGTAAACATATACGTTTTACGAATGGAATGGGGCGAATTTTGCCTCTTGGGGCTCTCTTCGGATGCGTTTTGGAGGCGTCTTAGACATTGTGGAGGCTTGTGGGGCCGTCTGGAGGCCATCTTAGACATCTGGGAGCGAACTGTGTGCGATTCGGAGCCCTCTGGAATCTCTTTGGGGCGCTCCTGGAGTCCTGGAGCGATCCGGGAGCCGAACCGCGCCCGGGAGTTCCGCCATCTGATCCGGAGTCTGCCGGGTGTCCGTCCGCGAACTCTTAGCACGCCTTTGGCCCGCTGGCCGGCGAATTATTACCCAGCCGCTCTGCAGTTGATCGGGAGTTTCTGTAGATTGAAGAGGGAGCTTGTGCCTGTGGGCGAGAGGAAAATGAGTGGGAGGCGGTGGTGCGGCGGGTGAGGATTGCGCCAGGGCGACAGGAGACTGGGCGTGTGCCCGTGAGCGAACGGAGGCCCCAGATTGGGACACACCCGGATCGATTTTCGCGAAGATGTCTCGAGCGAGAGCCCTGACACGCCCAGTGCGCCCTGGCGCGCCCCGGCGCGCGCGGGCAGATCCCCGGAAATGGTCCCGGTGGGGCCTGACTCTCGCTCGCTGGGGTCGACTCTGGGAGGAAGTCTCGGCGTTCCCCTGCGCACGCTGGCAGATCCCAGGAAGTGGTCCCCGGGGGCGCTGGCCTGACTTCCCAGAGATCCGCCGTCGTGATGTTCTCAAGACGCGGTCCCCCGCAGTCCCCACCCCTTCCCCAGGACCGGTTGTCCATCCTGAGCTGTTTTTTGAGGGCCCCGGGGCCCGGCGAGGGGCCCTAGAAGAGGCCGAAAATAGCGAAGAAAATCCGTTTTGATTTTTGTCAATGCGCTGGATCTCTGTTTCTCGCGCGCCAAGGGTCGACTTTGGGAGGACGTCTCGAGCGAGAGCCCTGGACCGGGACACGGCCAGTGCGCCCCGGCGCGCGAGGCTCGGGGGGCCGGTTTTCTAAGGACGTTCCACGCGATGGCGCCGGTTTGGAATTCGTCGCGCCAGATTTCCCCGGATTTCCCAGACGTCCCGGAAAGGGAACAGGGAAGCGGTTGGCGGGCCCATTCCCTCGCGCGCCAGGGGACAGGATGACGTGAGTTTTCAAGACAAGCTCCTTCGAATGACTGTGTTTTTTGCTCGTGGCCCTGACCAGGCCACAGGACTGGCCAAAACAACTCTGGAAGAGAAATTGCTCCCCTGGAAGAGCTTGGCATCGCTCGGACGTGTGCATTTTTCCTTCGGCGAGGACCATCGAGGAGCATCCTTGATCATTTGTCGAAAAAACCACCCACGAAACCGAAAAAAGCACAGGGCATGGACGTCCGAGCGATGGCCAGAGAGGTCCAGACCTTTGGGGACCACGACGTCGGATGTCTGGGAAAGGAGGCGTAGGGAAACGGGGAGGGTGTCCGAAGGTGGTCGCGTGCAGCTGGTTTCGGCCACGCCGCAGGACGCTGTCTTTGATTCGTGTGCGCCTCTGGCGCCCGGGGGCGCCTCAAACACCAGCTGCACGTGAGCCGATTCGGTTACTCAAGGGAGGAAGCACCTCCCCGACCCGCATGAATGGCGTGTGCTAAACGGCCCTGGGCCTTTACAACACAGCACTGTCCTGCTCGAGTTCTTCCGTGGGTAATTACGTGTCCTATATGGCTTCGCTTGTCGGGTGCTTGTTCGGGGGGTGGTCTTTCTGCTCCCCATCTCCCCCCCGATTCGGTCACCCTTGTCCACCCGATGCGAACTTGGCATCGCTCGGACGTGTGCATTTTTCCTTCGGCGAGGACCACCGAGGAGCATCCTTGATCATTTGGCGAAAAAGCCACGCACGAAACCGAAAAAAACACAGGGAATGGACGTCCGAGCGATGGCCAGCGAAAGGCCTACCAGCAGCTGGAGAAGTTCAAGGCCGGCGGGGAGCCGTGCGGCGCGCAGCGGGCCAGCAGGGAAGGGGGGGGGCGTTTCTCCAGAGGGGTCCTCTTCCAGGAAGGCTTCCCTCCCGAAGGCTGGAGGGCTTCCGAGGAGGAGGAGGAGGAGGAGGAGGAGGAGGAGGAGGAGGAGGAGGAAGGAGAGGAAGGAAGGGGCGAGAGGAAAGATGTAGGGGGGAGGGGAGGACGAGGATGGGGGAGAGGGGATGGAGAAGGGGAGGGGCGGACGAGACGAGGGTGAGGGAGGAGGAGGAAGGAGGAGGAGGAGGAGGAGGAGGAGGAGGAGGAGAGAGGCAGGAGGAGGAGGAGGAGGAGGCGGAGGAGGAGGAGGAGGAGGAGGAGATGAAGGGGGAGGGGAGGAGGAGAGAGGAGGAGGAGGAGGAGGAGGAGGAGGAGGAGGAGGAGGAGGAAGGAGGAGGAGGAGGAGAAGGAGGGGGCAGGAGGGGGCAGGAGGAGGAGGAGGAGGCAAGAGGAGGAGAAGGAGGAGGAGGAGGAGGAGGAGGAGGCAGGAGGAGGCAGAAGGAGGCAGGAGGAGGAGGAGGAGGAGGAGGAGGAGGAGGAGGAGGAGGGAGGAGGAGGACGAGGGGGACGAGGAGGAGGAGGCGGAGGACCTCGTGTTTGGACCTCGTTTGGTTGGGGCCCGCTGGGATAGCGGAGTGACCGCCCCGTGACGAGTACCACCGCCGTTTCGGGCCTATACGGGCCAGCGTCATGGCAAGGCGTCGGGCCGAGGCGCATTGTCCGTCCCGGGGGGACCGAGTCACGGGCCAATGGGCGAGGTGCCTCCCCCTGTAGGATGGGTAAGGAGGAGTGCAGGGGCGGGAAGGGGTAGTGAGAGGGAGAGAGGGAAAAGAAGAAGAGGACGAAGGAAAGTATAAGAAGGACAAGAGCCCTCCCCCCCCGAAAACCATCGCACCCCCCATCGCCACGTTCAGCCAGCAGAGGGCGCAGAGAAGGGAGGGGGAAGACAGGACGACGACAGGGATAGGAAGGGTGGCGCGGCAGACCGTCTGCGTCGAGGGCGCGCCTGGCCCCCTTCCCCCCACCCCCCGCTACATGCTGCAGCGGTTGCCGGAGGGTCGGGCTGGCAACCCAATGCCCGCCGCGGGAGCGCCTTTCCCATGCACGACTCGGCCCGCGGAGACCCAGGCCCATCCCCCGAGAGAGGTAAAGGGAGGGCGAGCAAGAGGGGAGGGAGAGGGCAGGAGAGAAGAGAGGGGCGGCTGGGGACCCCCTCCAAGCGCTGCCGTCCTGCCCTGCCAAGCGCTGCTGTCCTGCTCTTTTTCCTTCCAGCCGAGCCCGAGTGGCACCCCGGCCCCACTGTGCCAGCACGCCGAACGTGGCCCACGCCTGGTTCCTCCCAGCGCTGGCCCAGCCGCCGGGCGCGCCGCGCGCCCCCGCACTCAGCCCGGCCCAAGCCCAGGCTCCCCAGCGGTAGGCGAGGCAGGCTGGACGGACAAAACCAAAAGGCAGCCACCTCGCGCGGAGTCGATTGGGAAGCGGGCGCCAGGCGGACGACCTGGCGGACTGCGACCACGCTGCCCGACGCCGCCTGGTGCCCTGCAAGCGGTCGCCAGCGGGCCACGATCCCTGGGCTGGCGGGCGCCCTCGCCCGCCTGGTCGGCCTAGCGCTGGCGCCAAAGCCGCTCGAGGGAGGCCTGCGGCGGGGCCTCCACGCTCGGGCCCAAGACCCTGGCTGTCGCCACGCGCCCGAAGGCCTGGGTCCAGGGGCCCGCGTACTCCACCAGGTTCGCCGTGATGCCCTGGACAGTGACGACGCCCGTGGACATCGTCCAACGTACCGTGGACGTCGTGATCTTGTTCATCCTCGCCCGGGCTGGTATGTACACCCGCAGGGTGAACACGTGAGCGTCGCCGCCCTTCTCCGCGGCCCAGCCGGTGGCCGGCCTACGCAAGACCTCCCCCTCTGTCTCCACGATCGTCTGGACCAGCACGCTCGGCCCCGCCTCCCCGTGTCGCCCGCCACGTTTCGGCGGCCTCGGGGGTGGGGGGGGGGGCGGGACGTTCTCGCAGCGGCCGGCGGGGCCCAGATGGGCCATCGGCAGCTGGAGAGGCTCGAGGCCGACGCAACGGCAGCATGGTAGCTTGGACACGGGCCCTCCTCCTCCTCCTCCTCCTCCTCCTCCTCCTCCTCCTCCTCCTCCTCCTCCTCCTCCCTCCTCCTCCTCTCTCCTCCTCCTCCTCCTCTCCCATCCTCCCCCTCTCTCTCTTCCCTCCCCCTCCTCCTTCCTCCTCCTCCGCCTCTCTTCCTCCTCCTCCTCCTCCTCCTCCTCCTCTCTCCTATCATCCTCCCTACTCCTCCTATCCCCCTCCTCCTCCTCTCTCCTCCTTCCTCCTCCCTCCTCCTCCTCCTCCTCCTCCTCCTCCTCTCCTCTCCTCTTCCTCTCTTCCTCTTCCTCTTCCTCTTCCTCTTCTCCTCTTCCTCTTCCTCTTCCTCTTTCTCTCCTCCTCTCCTCCTCTCCTCCTCCTCCTCCTCCTCCTCATCTCCCTCCTCCTCCTCCTCCTCCTCCTCCTCCTCCTCCTCCTCCTCCTCCTCCTTCCCGCTGCGCTCTGCAGGTTTCGGCGGCCCCCCCTGAGGGCGAGTACGCGGTCGTAGCTTTCCGGGAGGTGTGTCGTGCAGTCTGCGCGAGGGTTGAGAGTCAAGAGCAGCCCAAGCTTTAAAAGGGTGCCCTCGTGTTCTTCGTGGTGAGGGCCCTCCACCTTGCAGTGGGTGTTGTTTGGGATATCTCCACGGGGCCTTACATCTTCGGCGAAGGGGGCTCCTGTTCTTGAGGCCATGCTCTGGCTGTACCGAGCGCCCCCCTGTGGCGGCTCGACCTCGGGCCCGAGGCCCGACTCGACAGACAGCGACGGGATCGCCTCGTCACCGAGGTCACCTGCGCGGGGGGCGCGCAGATGACCGCGCCTCGCGCGTGGCGGCCTGGGCGTGAGAGCTAGCCTTCCGCGGGGGCGGCGCGCGGCGCGAGGCGCGAAGTTGGGTGGCCTGGGTCACCGGCGCTTTGGCCCCGAGGCTTGGTCGGACAATTCGGTATTGCCGCTTCTGCGGGCGCGACAGGTGGCATTGGTAGACACAACGACGGCTATGAAGAGCGGCTTGCTCACCCCCGCCTTCGAGAAGACCGCGCGGATTGTGCACAAGGAGGTCAGAGAGGCGCCACGGGTGCCGAAGCTTCAAGGAGGCTTTGCCAGGGTTGGGCATGAGGTCGGGGGGAGAGGTAACTGATTATGCCAGTTTCGTCTTGCTGGCGTGCTGCGGCGATAGTTTCACAGAGTTGAGCCTCGGTTCAATGAGCAGCTTGTGCGGCAGACCTGAACGAGAAGTCGCTGCAGAATCGAGATGAAGGGGGCGAAGGGGGCGGAGGCAGCAAGCGTCAGGATGACGGGGCGAATGAGGCGGAGGCAGCAGGGTCAGCGGAAACGGTTGAGAATGGGCAAAATCAGGAGCAGTCGCGGCGGCAATGGCAGCAGCAGGCGCAGCAGCATCGGCGGCCTCCTATAGCCAGAGCCGGCTGCGGCGTCGAGGGCAGGAGCGGGCGGGAGCATGATCTGCAGGAGGAGGCGCAGGGAGGGAGGGACATATCGGGGGAGGCCCGTGCTGCGAGAGTCCTCCAGAGGCGCTGCTCGCGGATGGTATCAACCCCGACCTGATCTGCGGGGACGTGAGCCTCCCCGCCATTAGGGCGGGCGTGAGCAACCAGTTCACTTCTAGGTCCCTGGATGGTCAAACACACGTCGTCATCCGGCCGCCATGCCCCCTGCATCTGCACCTCCGCCTTCTCTCCCTGGCCTTGCAGCGTTCACTGCGCAGCATCCGTTCGGCAGTCCCCGGCAGTGGCGCCGTGCCGAGTTACAGTCAAGTTAAGACGCTGGAACTTGGAGCATTTTCTTTGGGTGGAGGGCAAAGGGTGAAATCTGAAATGCCGTTTCGATTGATCTTCGAGGCTTGAATCTGCCAGCGGTGAATCACAAGACGGATTAATTTTCGAGGTGCAAAAGCTCATATGGATTTCCCCTTCGTTCCTCACTTTGCGTTCCTTGCGGTAGCACGATGAATGCATCCAGTGTCTGGTGTTAAGTCGGGTCTGTCCCTCTACAGGAGGGGAATTCAAAAATAACCAAAAAGTAGTCTGGGGGCGATTCTCTCACTATGTTTGAATCTGTTTGAGTATTTTCTGGGGGTCGTATATCTTTCATTTTTCGTCCGACATCCGCCTGTAGGGGCACACGCCCGACCTGCGAGTCTGGTGGATCCGTGCTCGACCTCGCCGGGGAGCGCCGGGGCCGAGACAGGCGCAGGGCGGCGCCCAGCACGGCGCCCGGCACGGCGCCGGGCCAGATGCTGGACGGGGGCTCCAGGGAGCTCCCGCCCGGGCTCCGCAGCCATTTTGGCTCCGCCGGGCGGCGAACCCCGACATCGGGCGCCTCGAAGAAAACGAGACGAGGGTTGTGCGTCGTGTTCGGCCTCTGGGGGCCCTCGCCGGGCCTCGGGACCGTCGACAAAACGACTCGAAGGGATGGTCTTGCCAGACAAGCCTTACGTTTTTTGACTCCAAGCTTTATGACTCTCTCTCTCTCTTTCTCTCTCTCTCTCTCTCTCTTTCTCTCTCTCCCTCTCGCTCTCTCTCTCTCTCGCTCTCTTTTTTTTTGTCTCTCTCTCTCTCTCTCTCCCTCTCGCTCTCAGCGCTCTCTCTCGCTCTCTCTCTCTCTCTCTCTTTCTCTTTCTCTTTCTCTCTCTCTCCCTATCGCTCTCTCTCTCTCTCTCTCTCTCTCCCTCCCTCTCTCTCTCTTTCTCTCACTCTCTCCCTCTCTCTCTCTCTCTCTTTCTCTCTCTCTTTCTATCTCTCTCTCTCTCTCGCTCTCGCTCTCTCTCTCTCTCTGTCTCTCTCTCTCTCTCTCTTTCTCTCGCTCTCTCTCTCTCTCTTTCTCTTTCTCTTTCTCTTTCTCTTTCTCTCTCTCTCTCTCTCTCTCTCTCTCTCTCTCTCTCTCTCTCAGGGAGCAGAAGGAGGACGAGGAGGGGGAGGAAGAAGAGGCGGAGGAGGAGGACACATATATGTTGTTTGCTTCCTCATGCTCTCTTGTGGGGCCTCTGGGGGGCCCTTGGGCCATATTGGGCCGACACCTGTTTCAGATGGAAGACAGATACAAGTAATAAATTCTAATTTTGAAACTTTTCGAATTCGGTCGAGTTCTAATTTGTCACGGGGCCGTTTTTTTGGTTCACCCGGGAGTGTGAAAAAGAGACGCAGAGATGTCCTAAACATTGCACACTTGAAAAGGGGGGAGTGCTGTCATTTTTTAATGGCTTCCAGTATCTATTTTAGATTGACGACGGAAATGATTAGGAATATGATAGCATTGCGTGGATATGTTTTCGCTATTTCTATTCCAAGCAACATATTTGGTGATGTTTCCGATTTCCTGCTCAATGTTTGAAACTCATGCTGTTGAACCCTGTCCGTTCATTTTTTTCCAGATTCTTTGCGACTGCATATCTTATGGGAACGTGCTGTCGTGTTCAAAAAGACATAGTGTCTGCACGATTTCGCTTGTGTATGCGATCGTTGTCGTCCTTGACAGTCATGTTTGGTGAAGGTGTGCGCAATCGGAAATGTGTGGAACATGTGAATAAGCGTTCAAAAAAAAACAAAATTAATGAAATCTCCACACCGTAGCAAGCGAATTCGCCCGACCGGTTTTCGGCATGTCGTGTGTTTCTTCTGCTTTTTCTGTTTGATTTGTACATCTTCGAGAAATAGATATCAACGCGTTTGTGTTTTATGTAGCAACTGCTATACACATTGTATCGCTATGGATTCTATAGGATTGTTTTTCGCTGGCATCGAAACTATTTTTGCGCGAATTCCTGAAAGTAGGAAAAATGCTTGCGAACCGCGTGTCGATGTATGCTGCAGCTGTTGCGCTCCAGAATCGGCCTTGGTTTGTTTCCATAGCGAAATGCAATACTTTTACGTATCGGGCCACTCGCCGAGATCGCGTTCGTTCGATTTCTATGTTTTTTTAAACAAGAAAGCGCTTCTTGTCGAAAACCGGTCGGTCGCGCCTGCGTGAAAATCTTTGCAACGTCTCTATGAAAACGAGGCAGGGTGATCAGTGAGAAGGGGCAGGACAGCGTGAAGAGCGAGAGCCAGGTTTTTTTGTTTTCAAACCCCCGCGAGAAAAATGACAAGGACGAGGAAGAAAAGGAGGAGGAGAAGGACAGAAAAGAGGAAGTGCATGAGGGTGGTCGAGCAGCCGAGCAGCCGATCAGCTTTCGAACAGCCGGTCAGCTGATCGACCGATCAACGGTCGAGCAGCCCACCGGAAATCCTGCGCCGCGTCTCAGAGGGCCTCTCGGAACGCCAATGTCAGCTCTCTCTCTCTCTCATTCTCTCTCTCGCTCTCTCTCTCTCTCTCGCTCTCTCTCTCTCTCTCTCTCTTTCTCTTGCTCTCTCAAATATTCTACATATATACAGGCACACACACATATATGTATGCTATATGATATATGATATTTCTTTTGGCGGTCCTGCTAAAAGAAACGCGACTTGTCATTCCTGCTAAAAACATGCGATTCCTGGTTCCTGCTTGTAGGATTTCGGCTTTCCCGCTTTCTTTTCCGTTTTGGGGATGAGGATGAAGGATGAGCAACTAAATGACGAGAAAGGACTGCGCCAGGGTCGGAGAGAGATTTCGAGGAGGGACGGGCACGGCCACGATGGCCACGCGGCTGGCGGCGGCGTCGTCATCGCGTCTTCGCCGTCGCCGCCGCCGCCGGCGTCGTCGTCGTCGCCGTCGCCGCCGCCACCCGCCGCCATCGTCGTGTCGTCGTCGTCGTCGTCGTCACCCGCCGCTACCCGCCGCCATCGGCCCCAGATAATAGGGGGGGCCGATAAGGGGGAAAAGGCGCTTCTGCTCCTGCTTCTGCTTCTGCCCCTTGAACTGGGGTTTTGGAGCCATTTTGGCTTCTCGGGGGGGGCCCTTGGAGGGCTCAGTGGGCACTTTAAATCGTGTTGAGGCCGTCTTGGGGCCTCTTGGAGGTACGTCGGAGGTTATCGTGAGCCATCTTGAGCTATCGTGCGCCATCTTGGAGGCCATCTTGGGCTCTGGAAGGGCCTCTTGGAGCCATCTTGGGCCATCCTGGGGGTTCTAGCGCCTCGCCCCCCCCCTTCCCGGGTCCCGGGTAGGGGGAAGGGTAAACCCCTCTTCGCTGAGCAGGGGTATGAGGGGTTGCGGAAAGAGAGAAGACAAAACTCGTTAAACCACCCACGCCCAGAGGGCTGGTGGGATTAAGCTCCCCAGCGCAGAGTGAGGAGGGGGAGGGAGGGGGAGGAGAGGGGAGGAGGGGGAGGTCATGCCCACCCCCCTGCCCTCCTTAATCGCTGTCGCTGATCCACGCAGGCGGGCTGGAAAGGATGACGCCATCGCTCGGTTCGCTGCTCGTAATGTACTCGTCGTCGTCGGCGGGCCTCGGCGGGCGGTTTAAGCAGCGAACGATCGATCGATCGATGGATCGATCGATCGATCGATCGATCGCCGTTATGGATCGGGTCTTATGGGGGCCCAGGGGCCGCTGAGATCGAGGCTGCGGCGGTTCAGCGGCGGCGGTGCGCCACCGCACTCTGAGGGAAATATTGAAGTCGCACCCATGGGCCCGCGGGCGGGAACCACCACCACCAACCCCAGGGCTGCCCAATGATTTCCGTCGTATCCTCCATCTCGGCCGTCGGGCCAAAACTATGTCGCGGCGGGTTTCCTGGCGTGTTCCTCCCAGCCCCGGCATTGCAAAACGCCCTTTTTTCCCCCCCCCTCTCTCTAGCTCTCTCTCTCTCTCGTACACTGTATGTCACGACCTTTTAATTGTGTTACATATGTACACACAAATGTATTCACATACGGATGTACATTTGTTTACGTATAGACATAGACACATTCATATATATATATATGTATATATTTGCAGGTATATGTATACATATATATATGTATATATATATACATACATACATACATACATACATACATACACATGTACATGGCCCGAACATTTCAGACCCATTGAGGACTCATTTCTGAAGTGCGCCAGCTTGCTGGCGAGCCTCCTCCTCCTCGTCCCCTGGAGCTGAAGTGCGCTCCAGCCTCCGCGTCCTTTAGGCCCGAGCCGTGGCGCGCACTGTCCTGCCCTTGTCCTCCCCTGCCAGCCACCTCCTCTGCCCCCCATCCCCTCCCTCCTCCTTCTCCTCCTCCTCCTCCTCATGCTTATCCTGCTGGGAGGGCAGGGGCAGGGACAGCCTCCTCCTCCTCCTCATCCTCCTCCTCCTCCTCCTCCTCCTCCATCCTCCTCCTTCTCTTCCTCCTCCTCCTTCTTATCCTCCTGCCTATCCTCCTCCTCCGTGTCCTCCTCCCTCCTCCCTCCTCCTCCCTCCTCCCTCCTTCCTCCTCCCCTCCTCCCCCCTCCTCCTCCGTTCCCTTTTCTCCCCTTCCTCCTTCTCCTCCCCCTCCTCCTCCTCCATATCCTCCTCCATCTCCTCATTCTCCTCCTCCTCCTCCTTCTCCTCCTCCTCCTCCCTCCTCCTCCTCTCCTCATCCTCCTCCTCCTCTCTCCCTCCTCCTCGGTCGTCTCTCTCCTCCTCTCCTCCTCTCCTCCTCCTCCTCCTCCTCCTCCTCCTCTTCTCGTCTCTGGGCAGCGGCCCTCCTCCTCACCCTCCTTCT